CGCAAGGGGCGGCTGCGGAAAGGCTATGAGGTGGAGAGGGAGCAGGAGGTGGGCCACTCGGCCCGCCGGCTGGCCACCCACCGCAATGCCTTCAAGCGCATGGCCGTCATCCAGGCCTTCCTGGGCTCCACGCCGCAGCTCACGCTGCAGCTCTACATCAGCGTCCTCGAGAAGTACGTCCCCCCTGCCCGAGGTAAGGGGGGACGGGGTGACGTGCTGGGTCCGCAGCGACGCGCAGGGCCGTTATTTGTTTTTTTCAGGCTTGTTTATTTTTCTGGAGCTCCCAAGGCCAGCGCTCCTGCTCTCACAGTTGCTCGTAACACAAGGAAGCCCTCTGGCCTCCATCGCTCGGCTCGCTGTGGTTATTTATGAGCTCAGGTGTTAGTGTGGCTGAGCAAACTCGTAACTCCAGCTTTGGTGCGCAAACAAACCTTACATGCAGGCGTGCTCTTGCGCCTTTTTAATCTTAGTCTCTGGTGAGGAACCTGTCCTCGCTGACCCTTGCTCCCCTGCAAGCCCAAAGTCCTGGAAGCCCAAACGCTTGGTAGCGCACAGACCGCAGGACAAAAAGCAGGCTACAAGTCAAAACAAACCTTATGGCAGATGAGGAGAAAATGTGGGTTTATACGTGCAGTCTGCTGCGCTGGGGACCCTCTGCTGCTGGCTCAGTCCCCCGTGCCTCGCAGGCGAGGACGTTGTACCCGCTAGATGGTAAAAGTACTACAGATGTGTGAAGGGCCCTAGAAACTCCGTTTCCAGCATTCCCTAAATTCCCCGGCAAGGACTCTACCCAGCACAAGTACAAGGTTTCCTGCAAGGTCTCCCTTGAAAACCCTGCGGTAGGGGACAGGCAAGGGTGAGGCTGGAGATCTCGGGAAGCCGTCCTCGTTCCTGGGAGCCGTCCCCAGGCCCCGTAACCACGCAGCACTGCGGACTGCTGTCCTCGGCCGAGCTGTCTGGCCCCGTCCCCTCCGCGCCGAGGACCTTGCTCTGTGCTGCCAGGAGGGGAACACAGATGGGAAGGGGCGAGAGAGCCCTTAGAAATCCTCCCCTTGGCTGGACGCAGGTGACCACTGACATTTCCTAGAAAAAAAACTTGCCTTTACAGCCCCTAGGACTAGGGTGGCTCTTGAGGTACCCATAGGCATTTCGTAGCATAGCACCAGCCGGGGCTGACGCGTGGGGCACAGGCTAAGGAGGGGGCCCGCCGGGCGGAGGCAGAGGGACGCAGGCGTGTGTGCGCAGGCCTTGCAGCACAAGCCGTGCCCCGCTCGCCCTCCAGCAGCGCGTCTTGCACAGACCACGTGAGCGCGGCGGGGGTCGGCGCCTGGTTCAGACACAGATACAAACTCCCGCGGCCTGATTCCCTGCTCTCCTTCCCCCTACAGCCGTCCTCATGGGGATCTGCCTGGTGTCGGTCACCTACGGGGCACTCATCTGCAACATCCTGGCCATCCAGATCAAGTACGACGACTACAAGGTTCAGCTGCGGCCACTGGCCTTCCTCTGCATCGTGCTGTGGCGCAGCCTGGAGATCTCCACCCGCGTGGCCGTCCTCGTGCTCTTCGGCACCGTCTTCAAACACTGGGTCATCCCTATCGCCCTGGCCAACCTGCTGGTGGTCTTCTTCCTGCCCTGGGTGCAGTTCTGGCGCAGCGGCACGCGGCTGCCCGACAATATCGAGAAGAACTTCAGCCGGGTGGGCACGGTGGTGGTGCTCTGCGCCTTCACCCTCCTCTACGCCGGCATCAACATGTTCTGCTGGTCCGCCGTGCAGCTCAAGCTGGCCGACCGGGACCTCATCGACAAGTCGCAGAACTGGGGCCGCCTGGCCGTGTACTACATCGCCAGGCTGGCGGAGAACACGGCCCTCGTCATCCTCTGGTACTTCTTCAAGACGGACGTCTACGAGAACATTTGCACCCCACTGCTCGTGGTGCAGCTGCTGCTCGGCTACTGCCTGGCCATCTACTTCATGCTCCTCTTCTTCCAGTACCTGCACCCCTGCCGCCAGCTCTTCCACCACAACGTTGCCGACTTCCTGCACTGCGTCTGCTGCCGGCGGCGCACGCCCGGCCGGCCCGCGTCCCCGGGAGCC